TAAGGTGCCACAAGTACTCCTGTTCTTTTTGCGGATACAGACTAACACGGCTGCTACTCTGAAACCAGAGCAAGAGAGTTGAGATGCCAATCAGAGAAGAGGACGTGGAAGTGGCAAGTTGCCAGTCAGAGGGAAAGGTGTGGCCCAAGCTGATGTAAAGCGCACAAACAATGCCGGGGTGAAGGGGCTGGGACGGGGAGGAGTGCACTACTGAGCCTTAATTTAATTGTGTTACTGCTCTGAGTGAATGGGGAAGGAGAGAGAGTCAAGTAAACCAAAGGCAATTTTACTCACTATTCTGTCATTCGGAAGTTTAATTTTCCAGCCAAAGGAGGATAGACTGTCTTGCAGCTCTGAGCTTTGAAAATTTAATGGCAGCTGCTACAAGTTATTTTTTTTAATAGTATTGCAACCCCAAGCATTCAAAAATTGTGATTCAGGCACTCCAAAACATGAGATTTCTAAAATGATAATTTTTCGGTCTTTATTTGCTGGGGAGGTTGGGGGGAGGAGGCTGCAAGAAAAACACCTCAAATGCTGGGAGTTGATAACACTGTTAGGGTTGATTTGACTGTAGGCCTGAAAGCTTCAATATGCTCTATTAAACCCTTGCAATTGTAAACTTAGCTCCTGCTGCCACAGCCAGGCAGTCTAATGTGCAAATCAATCCTTGAGTTGTTATACACTGCATTTCAAACACATTCAAATGCAAACTATATGCACACAGATTTGGTTGAATTTTTAAACACCTTGAACAATATCAAGCACCTTATACTATCCTGTTTTTGGAGGGGAAAAAGGAGAGAGTATTTAAAACAAAAGCCAGAATTAGCAGAGGTAATGATGCAGGCCTTATGGCAAGTAAACAAAAGTAGTATGTTAGGGAATTAGTAAAGTGCAAATTCACAGTAAGTTAGATCTCTTGGTTTCATGTCAAAGACTAAATGTTTTGTGTAATTTACACACAGCATGACAACCTTTCTAAGACATTTCTCTTGTTAGTGAGCGTAAGACCTTTAAAATAAAGTATCTGCATAGACATTACAAATTTTATCCAGATTGACAAACTTAGTGGGGATACTAAAATGTGAGTGTAATGTACCAGATTGTGCTTCAGAGCATGCAAGGGCAGTTAATTTCAAATCAGAGACATTAGTATGATCTCTAGAAGTCTTTTTGGATCTTTGCACATTCGGCCCAATGAATAGACACAACCTTACATAGCACCCTCCTAGATTTAATATCTACACAATTTAAGATAAAACAGTGAACTAAGGAAGTTTCTAAGAATATTTTCATAATTTGTTTTCCGAGAGCCTGGTAACAAATAATTTGAACAGCTCTTCCAATGAGTGTTCAGCTTTTCTGAAATTTGAATTAGGGCACTTCTAATTAGGATGTCTGTGCACAAACACAGCTTCCATTAGCATCATGGGACAATAATTTCTTGCTTCTTCATACACGCCAAGGAAAAGCCAAAACATATTTTCATAGTGGGCCACGTTGATTCCGTTAGTGTTGTAGTACAATAACTATTCGCTACACAAATGATAGCTTTTTTTGTATGATGGAACAGTTATTGACTGCATCATTAATCAGCCACCTTCTGGCAGTCTAATAGAACAGAACACATGACCTCCCCTCCTGCCAACTCCCGCCCTCCCACTCTTCTCCAAACACAAATTGCAATGGCTAAAAAATTACTTGGGTTGGCTTGAGTTACAGAAGGAGCTAAGAATAAACATCAAAAATCCAGTCTAAGACTCTTTGGACTTGGTCTCCCCCTCCTGCCTCCCAAGTGTCCCCTTGAGAATTGCTCAGCCCATGCTCTAAGGCCTGTTCTTCACTAGAAGTGTGGTGTCACCTCACGTCAGCAACATGATGCAAAATCCTATTGAAAAGGCAGTTGGTAGTTTCAGCATTTGGGGAGGGGCGGAGGCAGTGCACAGAGCTGCCTAGCCAGTCCTCCGCCTAGGAGCAGCAGGGACATGTCACTCTTGCAGGGAGCCACCAGAGGTGAGCACCGCCCAGATCCGGCACCCTGAAATCCCTCCCATGCCCCAGTCCCCTGCTCCAATCCCTCTCCTACACCCCAACTCCCTCCCAGAGCCCGCGCTCCACACCCCCTCCTGCACTCCAAACCCCTCGTGGCATTCCTCCGCCTTGGAGCAGCAGGGACATGTTGCCACATTTGGGGAGTCACGCAGAGGCAGGTAGGGAGCCTGCTGACCCCACGCCAACCGGACTATAAACTGGACTTTCAATGAAGATCAGAAATGCCGGTTTATAGAGCTTTCCAGTTGGTAAAGTGCTGGAGAACACAGGTTTTACTGTATAAACCTAATATGTAAAGATATGGAAAATATATAGCACATTTCTCAAAGCTGTTTCCAAATCTTGTGGTAGTTGTAACTGGAAACACACTGAACTTTTGGGGATAAACCTGTTCTTTACTTAGATTGTAAGTTTTTTGGACAGGGGCTGGGTTCTTGTTCTTGTTTGTACAGCATCTAGCACAGCAGAGTCCAGCTCCTTGCTAGGTGCTTCTAGGTACTACCACAGTACTAATAATAAAGAATATAAATATGTTCAGTTGGTAACTGCTGGAGAGGTGGGGCTGAAATGAAGAGCTTGCAGCCTGGTCCAAATTTTGTTGCCAGTCAACCAACGGTTTTGGTTTAAACCATTCTCTTGAGGTTTTTTGGAAGTACAGCATTGTAACAGTGGTGTATCTTTTTATTATAATCTATCACAGCATGATGTCATTTAAATAGCTGAAATCTATTTTCCTCCTCTGTGTTCTAAACCCTAGTTTTGAGTTACCCAGTGAATGAAAGTTGATGTATGTGTTTATTTTCAGTCACCCAGCATGGGCACCCTGATGGGAGTGTACCTTCCATGTATGCAGAATATCTTTGGGGTTATTCTCTTCCTTCGGTTGACATGGATGGTGGGAACAGCAGGAGTTCTACAGTCCTTCCTGATAGTCTTAATCTGCTGCTGTTGTGTGAGTACATGATCAAATTAAGACCCGTCTCATACCATGTGTGTACCTCTTGCAAAGCTTTTACTGTGCCCCTCTAAGGGGGTTAACTATACATGTGTGTAGGACTAAGACCAGGACTACACCAGAAACATTTGACAGCATAGTAATGTCAATTAAGGGTGTGATTTTTTTGAGGGGAGGGGGAGGTAAACATTACTATAACGGTAAAAGTCCTAACGTAGATGCAGTTATAATGGTGTACAAGTGCTTTTGCCAGTTTAACTTAGGCTAGACTTCTGTTGGTATAGCTATGTTGGTCAGGATGTGAAGAGATCTGTATCAGTGAATCGCTGCTTTACAGATATTTTTATTTTGCTTGGGGGTGTGTGGGTGGGAATTTACAAAGTGCAGCTTTGCTGGTATACATGTGTCCACAGTAGGAACTCTTTGCCAGTATAGTATACTGGTACTCCTATGATGGTAAAGCACTTCAGATGTAGTCTTATTTCGCTCAGGGAAATGGTGTAACCTCTATTGCCAAAAGCACTTTTTTGCTGGTATAAACTGCGACTAAACTAGGAGGGTTTTCTGGGATAGCTATGCCAGCAAACCTGTTCTGGTGTAGGCCTGGCCTAAGTTAGTTGGGTAGTAAAGAGTTGTGAAGGGGGCCCTGCCATGATCTATGGGTGAATCTACCTTGTGGCTCTAAGATAAATTGTTCAATCTAAGCATTGCATGTGCAATCTAAGCAGTTAAGCAGCCACACTCTTATAGGTAGGGTTTGGAAATTCAGATCCCACAATATTGTCCAAGCAGAATTGACAGTAAATGTGTGAAGTCTTACAAAGCTCTTCTTCCTTTGGCACATTTGTTACGCTGCATGTGCAAGCCACACTCATCTCCCACATGAAAGGCTGAAGAGTTTAATCGTTAAATTGGTTTTGTTGTTGTGAAATCGATGAGTTTTCTGCTTTGAGAAAATGACCTTTGGAGGGTGTGACATACCAGGGTACAATCCAGACTACTGAGCAACTGTGTTCTACAACCCTACCCTGCAACCTTGGGTGCCTTAAAATGCTTTGGTTGAAGCAGTTCCCACCTGGGCCACTCACAAACAGCCATCCAGCATGCAAGCCACACCCTGCATGTCTGTGTGTAACTGCAGCTGGCCAGCCACACTTGGGTTACACTCTGGCTCTCACCAGCCTTGGTTATACTTCAGGGTGACCCCAACACACCTCCAATCTTAGATTTCCCCCCAGAAATGTATGTCCTGTACTTCCCAGCCCTCTTCTGGACAATACAAATTATATAGCGTGTATTATTTCTTTAATAGAAATAATATGCACACAACTTGCCACCCCAAATGGAGTTTCCCAGACACTTAAATTTAAACACACATGATTAGATAAAACAATAAAACAGCCACAAAGAGAGAGATTTAAAGTGAGTACAAGTAATGAGGCATAAAAGTCAGAAATGGTTATAAGAAAATAAAGTTAAAATGCTACTTGTACCTAACTTAAACTATATTAGAGTCAAGCAAAGTTTCTCACCATATGCTTTCAGCTCTCTTATTGACCAAATACCCTAGGTCAGGACCGCTTCTCCCAGAATCCAGTGAATGCTTTCTTTGTCACTTTAGGTCAGGGGTGTGTGTGTGTCTGTGCATGCCTGAAGTGTACCTTGGGGTCTTTGTCCCTCCTTTTTATAGTTTCAGTCCCCCTCTTGAAAAATATTTCCACCTGTGTGCTAGGAGACAAAAAGTCTGTAGGAAAGGATTTCCCTGCTGCTTTTTCCTCACTTATTGGAGCTTCCCTTGTTTCCCTTCCTGCTTGATGACTCTGTTTACTGCTTAAATGCAAATTAATCAGAGCACACATTCCTTTGTTTGAGATACAAACTACCTTTTGCCTACCTCAGTTTGGTCCATCTATTAATAACACCATACAATAGAATCTTATAACTTCAGTGTTGCCACACAGATTTTATCAGAACAATACTGATCAACACATTGAGTTTTCAAATGATAACTTACAAGGCATACTTTGTACAAAGATTATTACAGTAGGTACTCTTGGAGGAATTCTGCATGTGCGCAGAATTCATATCCCCCGCAGATTTCTTTGCTTCCCTGCAGAAAAAAGACTTTTTGACAGGGAAGCAAAGGGAAGCTGCAAAGGCAGTTTCACACCACTCCCTAGCTGCACAGGTACATTGTTTCAGGCACCCAGAGTAGCCGGCGGAGAGGTAAATCACTGTAGGGCTGGGGACATCCCAGCCAGTGGCCCCTACCCTGAGCTGGGATCAGCTACTAGTCCCGGCTGGGCTGGAGGCAGGGAAGGATGAGATTTCCTCTTCTCCTGCAAGGAAGGGCTGGGGCTGTGTCAGACCCACCCCTAGAAACCTCCCCCAGGAATCTCAGCATCCTCCCCTGCTTCCTGCCCCATCGCTCCTTAGCTGTGGGGCGAGGGGTCACTGTAAGGGGAGCTGCTCCCCCATCCGCCCAACCCCCATATATCTGGACCTCCCATACCCAGACATCCCTGCGAACCTTCACCCCGTACACCCAGAACCCCCCTAGCCCTCCACACCCGAATCCCACCCCACTGAACCTCAACCCCTGCATCTGGAGGCCCCCATGCACCGAGACCTCCTGCCTCCAGACCCCCACCCCTGCATCCAGACCACCCCCCACTGAGCTCCCTGCACTCAAACCTCCACCCTGACGAGCCCCATCCCACTGTACCACCCTGAGTCCCCACATCCAGACCCCCACACCACTGACCCCCAAATAGCTGCACCCAGACCCTCACCTCACCAAGCCCCACTCCCCCACACCCAGACCCCTCTGCTGAACCCCAACCACTTTCACCTGGAAACCCCTGCAGAGTCCCATTGCTCTTACACCTGGCAACCCCCACCCTCCAACGAGCCTCTGTTTGTCTAGATCCCCCCACACATAGACCCCCCCACTGAGCTGCCTGCACCCAGATTGTCCCACACAGAATCCTCTCACCCCAGACCTGGATTCCCCCACACTGAGCCCCTCCACACTTGGATCCTGCCGCAGAGGGGCAGGGGCCCCAGGGTGTTTCTGGGGCAGGCCCAGGCCTTGTGCTGTGTCAGGCTCGGGTGCAGCCTCACCACTGAGTCCGTGTCCTGGGGGTGCTGGTGTGGGGAGGCTGCAGGGTGATCTCCCACCTTCGTAAAACCAGTGGCCTGTGCTCCCTATGCCATGCCAAATAAAACTTGCAGAATTTTAAAATGTGCGCAGAATATTTAATTTTTTGTCGCAGAATGCCCTCAGGAGTAAGTAGTGTATATGGCGTGAATACAGGGGTACGTTCTGTTACCATGGGGTAGAACAGAAATGCTGTAAATTCCTACTTAAGCTTGACAACTTTTTCTGTTTTGCTTATTTTACTATACAGGGAAAGAACTGTATTTTTGAGACTTACTTATGTAAATATATCCATTGTCTTTTTCTCCACAGACTATGCTGACAGCCATATCAATGAGTGCAATAGCAACAAATGGTGTAGTTCCAGGTAATTGTAATTAGCAAATTCCTCACTTCAGTCAGAATAGCACATCTGTAATCCATTTTGACTCACATTTCCTCCCTGTAAATACAACTGTAAACATGTGCAAATCTGTATGCTAACTAGAAGATTGTGGTTTAATAAATGTAGATTTTTTTTGTTGCTTTCCATTGAAATTAGACGAGAAGGCAAACTAATGTCCGGACATGTCAAGAGAAGAACTGTATTGTACCTTCTCCAGAACTGCCAACCCAAAGTGTTAAAAAATCATGAGCCAGGCCCTCTCTTGCCCCCTCCCCTCCCAAACCCATCAGATTAAAAAAAAAAACCTCATGATTTTTAAGCCAAAGTACCTGTTTTTTTCTTTCTTTCTTTAAGGTACGTTTGGGCCACATTTTCAAACCTTGATCTGCTACCATAAGGGCTTGTAATTATTTTAAACGAAAGCTGAGATTCTCCCCATATCACATGCCTCCCAGATTCAGGTTTTTAAGAAACATGGTGACTTGCTAAAATCATGGGTTGGCAACATATGTTTGAAAAACATGTCCTGTACTGACATAGCCACCATTGCTATGGTCTCACTGCTATTTTTCTAAGGTTTTTTTTTCTTCAGATCCCATCAAGCTGAACTTCACAGCAGATTGAGGGACTGATTTAATGAGGAAGAAAAGCAGTTCAGTTTATACAAAATGTGAAATCCAGGAACTTAAAATGTAGCTCATTCTTCAGACTGGTGATACTAGCTAATCTTTCATTGGACACTAAACAGATTTGCACTGCATGTAACTTAGTTCATCTGTGTTGTAGCCCTTCATTTACCCAGTTTGTCTGTGCATGTGACTGTTTCTCTTATCTGAAGAGGGTGAGAATATGATTTGTTTTTGAGTCTAACAAATTTGTATAGAATGGGAAATTGCAAAATAGAATAAGAATAGATTAAATACCATAAGCACCCTCAGGATTTCGGTCACTGCAAATTACTAGCACCCACCTGTGCATTTGTCCCCAAATGTAAAAGATTTAAATACATTTCTGGGGAGGAAACCTGGATTGAGCCAAGATACAAGGCTTGATTTAATATCCTGTATTTCTGCTGAATGCTGCCTAGGCAACTGAGAGCTATCTTTGTTTAGTTTGCTGTTGTGTAAACAAAGGTATTTCTGGTAAAGATCTGAAAAAAGCTGGATATGCAATTTATAACTTTGTATGCATGTTCTGGATTTTTTAAAATGTCGCATTCGTAATATAAAAATATTCTGGAAAATACCACCTCCCTTTCCTGTCTTGTAGCTGGTGGCTCCTATTTCATGATCTCAAGGTCCCTAGGTCCAGAGTTCGGTGGAGCTGTGGGACTGTGCTTTTACTTGGGAACAACATTTGCAGGAGCTATGTACATACTTGGTGCCATTGAGATTTTATTGGTGAGTAGTAATGCTTATGTGGCAAGTCACATGTAGAAACTACTGCAGAATTCCTGCCTCATAGGGATCGAATTATTCTCATTTTGAAGAGGCATAGAGGATGAAGGCTTACATTTTCAAACGTGATTATTGGGTGCCACTTTTATTATTTTCTAGGGGCCTGACTTTCAGAAAGTGCAATGTCCCTCCTCTGGAAGCCAGGGCCCTTGAAGGTGTCTCATTTTGGTATCAAAAAACAGAGACTCCCCAAATCACTATTCACGTTTGAAAATGTAGGTTGAAGTGTGACTTATTTCAAGCCACCCAGTGAGTCAGTGGCATAGCTAAGGCTAGTTAATTGTATTATGGAGGTAAAACTACAAAACTGCCCATATCGATTGACTATTCTACAGGGCGAAGAACCCTCGCTCAATGTATTTTGCAAATAGAGAATTGATTTACATTGAAATAAATGTTCTGGTATGTAACGCTTATTTAAAATTGAAACATGCAATAAGTGAAAGTATATTTGAAACTCTTGTTGTCTTACTGCAGCCCTTTAGCTAACTTTTTGTTTTCTATTTCAGACATACATTGCACCACAAGCAGCAATTTTTCATTCCACTGGTGCCCATGATACATCTAGTGCTACACTGAACAACATGCGAGTTTATGGAACCATATTCCTCACCTTTATGGCTGTGGTAGTTTTTGTAGGAGTGAAATATGTTAACAAATTTGCTTCTCTCTTCTTGGCCTGTGTAATAATATCCATATTGTCCATTTATGCTGGTGCTATCAAGTCCATCTTCGATCCCCCTGCATTTCCGTAAGTAATCTTGCTGGCTGGGTATGTCAACCTGCAAGTCAGAAATATCTTCAGTTGCCATTTGGAAGCACTGATTCAATGGAAGTTATTTTAAAGTTACCCAGCAAATATGGCAGCACTTACGTGCTATAAAAAATATTTACTTTATGAATGATAAATTTTATGTTGCAGTGAGCATAGTTTGATAAACCCATGAAACAAAGCTCCTTAGCCTAAAATAAACACATTGTTAACCTTTACCATCTTTAGCCAGTTCCACTAGGTTTGGGTCTTCTGCACAGATAGAGGAAGATGGATGGAAGTTGACGCTTTTCAACCGGTTCCCCCTCATACAGAAAGAGAGAACCAGATACTCTAGATACAACATAAACTTTCCTCACATGGCATCAGTTCATTTTGTGATGCAAAGTTGCTTTAGTTCTGAGCCAGAGTACAGTTGACTTAGTCCTTTTTGTTTTAAATTCAGTGCAGGCTCATGCTGTACAAGGGAATGCAGAGCACAGGCAACGGTAGCAGGGGATTATGCAGTGCAGTTAGGGTAGCTTAATCTGACAAATTATTCACTTGACAAAAGTAGCGTAATGCTAAATGAGTAGCCACAACCCTCTACAGGCCCCCACTATGCATGTAGAGCCCAGTCTGCACCATTGCAGTGAAGAGTGGGAGTTTTACCATTGACTTCAATGGAAGTAAATAAAAACCAAAAACCAAACTCGCATACAAATGATCAGGAATAAATTAAAATACAGTGTTTCTCTCTCCCTGTAGCTTTCTCTTATTTAGTGAATGCTTCCCTCTGCTTGTCTACTCATGCTGGCACGATGTGGGGCTGGAAAGGATCTTGAGTCAAGAGGCAGGACCAAATAAACCTAGGCCATCCCCTGACAGATATTTGTCCAATCTGTTATTAAATACCTTCAGTTAGGGGGATTCCACAATCTTTGCTGGAAGCCTATTCCAGAACTAAACTATCTTTATAGTTAGAAAGTTTCTCCTAACATCTATCCTAAATCTTCCTTGTTGGAGACTGTCATCAGCACCCGGCCCTTCCCCCCAAGCCTTCTTTTCCCGAGATTAAACATGACCATTTTAAAAATCATTGCCTCATAGATCATGCTTTCTAAACCTTTTATTATTTTTGTTGCTCTTCTCTGGACTCTCTCCAATTTGTTCATATCTCGTCTAAAGTATGGCACCCAAAACTGGACACAGTACCCCAGTGCCAAATAGAGTGGGACAGTTACCTCCATGTCTTACATATGACATTCCTGTTTAATACAACCCAGAATTGTATTAGACTTTTTAGAAACTGTATCAGATTGTTGGCTCATTTTCAATTTGTGATCCACCAGGTCCTTGTCAGCAGTACAACTGCCTAGCCAGTTATTCCCCCTTTTGTACTTGTGTATTTGATTTTTCCTTGCTAGGTATAGTACTTCACACTTATCTTTACTGAATTTCAACTTGTTGATTTCAGACCAATTCTCCAATTTGTCAAGGTCATTTTGAATTCTAGTCCTGTCCTCCAAAGTGCTTGCAACCCTTTCCAGCTTGGTGTCATCTGCAAATTTTATAAGCATACTTTCCACTTCGTTGTCCAAGTAATTAATGAATATATTGAATAGTACCGGATCCAGGACGAACCCCCGTGGGACCCTATTATATATACACTCCCCCTTTTCTCCCCTGCCCCCCGCCAGTTTGACAATGAACCATTGGTAACTACTCTAAGTACAGTCTTTCAGTCACTCATGCATAAAAGTAGAGCAAAAATGTTGGCTAATATCTTTTTTGTCATGGATTACAGCCACACTGAAACTTCCTGAATTTCTCTTCTCTCCACTCCCAACAAACCAGCTGGAGAAACATAGCAGTGACCCCCTATTCACACTGGTGATCTAGGTTTGGTCAGCCTGTACCTCATATGGCCCCATTAGTTTATTATATGAGCACTTCACAATCTTTCATGTATTTATCCTTAGAGCACCCCAGTGAGATAGAGAAGTGCTATTGTCCCCATTTTATAGAGAACTGAGGCACAGAGCAACTAAGAGACTTGCCCAAGGACACAAAGGGAGTCTGTGGCAGAGGAGGAAATTGGACCTGGTCTCACAAATCGAAGGCTTGTGCTCTATAATCCTTTCCCTCCATCTGTTCTTCATCCCGCTCATGGGGGAAGGGGCATTAGGTGGCACATACCCTTCAGATGCTGCTGATCTTCAGAACTGCCAGCCCCACTTGTAGGCAAAATATCCCGAGCTGCACCCTGGAAGTGGGACACCGAGGGGAAGTGGAGAGAGAAATAATTACATGTTTGTTTTAATATTCAAAATATTGAATATTAAAACACAACAATGTCAACATACACGCTCATGGTTCTGCTTCCCAGGAAAGTCTCAAATCTGGAACAAGTTGTTATGAAGGAGAACCACTTTAAAATCCCAGTGTATGAAAAGGGAAAAGCTACGCTTTCCAAATAACATCTGATGCGAGTAACCATCTTTGCTTAGTATGTACTTCTAAATGACTCTCTCATTCCCCTTCCAGGATTTGCATGCTGGGCAACAGGACCCTGACGAGAGGTCATTTTGATGTTTGTGCCAAAACAACAATTGTGGGCAATATGACTGTGGCCACCAAGCTCTGGGAACTCTTCTGCCATAGTTCTAACTTAACCACTGATAACTGTGACAAATATTTTCTGCTCAACAACGTTACGGAGATAGCAGGTATTCCTGGAGCTGCAAGTGGCATTTTAAAAGGTATGGTACAAAATACTGTTGGATCAAAGGAAATCCTCTTGTTTAGAGGCATGCAGAGCAGTTCAGATGAATTGAGCTGTTCTATGCTAGTAGAGAATAAGTACTGAAGAAATCTAATTACAGTTAAGAAAACCCTTTCGAAGAAAACTGTTAGAATACTTTAAAGAGTAGATGGTGTTAATCGTTTTTCTAGATAAGAGGCTTAGTCTCAGTTCTACAAAATTGACTGAATGAGACTGATATTTGCAATAGAAACTCAACTAGATTAATATTGTAGGGCGAATTAACCTGGGCATACTATATAACTCTTCAAAACCAGGCTAAAATGTCTGGGTTGGAGAGCAGTGGTAGGATGTTGCATACTTCGATTTATAACATAGTAGATTCTAGCTGGAAGAAGCATAGAAGTGTGTGCATGGAGGTGATTTATCTGTGTCCTTGCTCTCCACAAACCTACTGCAAAGCTACATATATAATACTACAAAATGCTCACTCTAAACAAGAATTACAGGGAACATTTTCTGTGTGCAGGTGATGTGTATATGTTCATAAAGTTCCTATTTAACAAGGAAGTTTAGCAGACATATTCACTGCTTATTCCATGCATTGTCGAAGCATTAGTTAAATGCAAATCCATGCAGTCATAATACTTCCACTTCCTAAAGAATAAAATAACTTCCATCCAGATATCTGGTCAGGGTTACCGCTTTAGGTTTTTTCAGTTACTATGTATATGTATACTCTTTCATTTAATATACCTAATTTATGTGGCAATGCTAAACTTATGTTGCTTTGTTAGAGCAAGTCTATTTAAGTGGTACGTTAGAATGATATAACATCAGTTCATTAACTTCATAGAATCAAAAAATGTTGCATAAACCTTTCCAGGCAGTTGATTTGTGAGGTGATAATCCAAACATGTTTGTTGCGCTTGTGAAAAGTTTGCATGAAAATACGATGGAAACCTTTTCTGTTTTGGAAGTTTTGTGTGTTTAGTTTTGTAACTGCAGTAACCCACTAAGTTTCACTCCAGTCTGTTATTGCTTTGAGTAGCTCATTAAGAGTTCAGTAAGTTAGGTTTGGGTGAGCCTGTATTTACTGCTCTCCTTTTGTGGTGGTAACACCCCTTTTCTGCCCTCTTCCTGCCCCCCAGATAATCTGTGGAGCAATTATATGGAGAAAGGAGAGATACTGGAAAAAGCTGATCATCCATCAGTTGATGTATCAGGGCTGAAAAGCAACCTTCACCTTTATGTGTTTGCGGATATAGCCACTTCCTTCACAGTACTAGTTGGCATCTTCTTCCCTTCAGTGACTGGTGAATACGGGGAAAGGGGGTTGTGGGATTTTTAATTAACTTTCTTTGATCTCTTGTGGTATTTTCTTAAACTGAAATCTATGTTTAGGTATCATGGCTGGTTCAAACAGATCAGGAGACCTCAAAGATGCGCAAAAATCTATTCCCGTCGGAACAATTCTGGCTATTGTCACCACGTCACTCGTCTGTATCCTTTAAAAGTAGAATAGAATTCTAGCACAGTTGTGACTCAATTGAATTTTATTATTATTTGTGCTCCTGGTTCATTGCACTGTTTTCAGTTGATATAAATACCCCTGCAATTGTCATATGTCAGTGAAAGAACATAAACACTGGTTCAATTGAGAGTATGTAACTTCCTCCCCTCTCTATCTCTTTGCTTTCTGGCTGCTGTTCCTTGCTCCTTTAAGAAAGCTGACTAGCAGTCAGTGGTATCTTGGGCTGGCAGAATGCAGAGATCCATTAAAAACACTGCCAGCTGGTAAGGTGGGGAAAGACCTTAAATACAGGTATTTCTAGATCACAGTACCTTTTTAAACAAATAGGTTTTTAATTTTGAGTAAAGGGAGGGCACTGTGTGCTGTCTAAGAATTTGAAAGCGAAATGTGTAAAAGGGAACACAAGGAGCATCAAAGTAGCCAGAGACGGCAAGGTGTAGTAGCTAGGTTGTTAAATTAGAAATGGAATTGGGGTGGGGACAGAAAGTTGGAATAAAAGGAATTAGTGTAGACCAGACCACTCTAAAATTAGCTGCTGATATCCTGCTAATAAGCTCTTCTGCAAACTACATGTGAACCAGGAAATGAACCTGTCTTCTGACACTTCAGCCAAACTGCAGATCAGGACTGAGCCCTTTGTCATCAAAAGGACATTGTACTCCATGTCATACTCCTTCTGTCTTCCAGAGAGCTTCCGTGTGGTACTTCTGGAGCTGACCTTTTTTGTTCCAGAAGTTGTTGCTTGTACGTTGATGTAGCGGGACAGTCTGGTGACCAGCTGGCCTAGTGCTCAGGCAGTGGCCTTACAGTTTTTGACAGAGTAGTCATTCAGAGGACGTCCCAGCCAGATTGTATGCAGCGGGCTGCTTTTACAGGGGAGCATGGAGGCAAGGTAGGGCGACCCGGGCCCACTCCACCTGATCTCCATCCAGGACCCTCGGGGTTTGTCATAGTGTCTAAATCAGTAATTGATCTCCCCAAGTTACACTTTCGCTTAGTCACTTCCTACCAGACTGGAGCTCTTCTGTTTGGGGCATGGTTGCTGGCTTACTCTACTTGGTCTGTTAACGTCCAGTTCAAAGCAGTCTCCTTTAAGGCTTTCAGCTCCCACCAGGGAGTTTTGAAATGTAAAACAAATTATATTAAAAACATTAACCATGTCTCTTTAATCCAGTCTTTCTTAAATTTGAATTTGGAACAACAATTTAATCATATTTGTCTCTTAATTATTAAAGATTGGTACATTGGGTGGTATTAACAACTCACTGACCCGCATACCTTGAGTGATCATGATATCTGATTATACAGAAGATACCACTGCATCATAATCATTTGCACAGGGGTAAACATTGAGCTTTAGTGATGTTCAATATAATTGCATTGATTGATCATGTCTAAATAAAATTACCTTCCTTAATGTACTCTACACTCCAGATTTCAGCAGTGTATTACTATTTGGAGCCTGCATAGAGGGCGTTGTACTTAGAGACAAGTAAGTAATGATGAAATATTTTACCTATAACATGGTAGGGGAGGTTGTGCCCTGCCTTTGGCCAATGAATATTTTAGTCTTTGCCTTCACCTCCACACCTGACTAAAGCTGCCTCTTAGGCATATCTGCATTCAAAATGTAAAGGATACTTTGGAAGAATGGGTTCTACATTTCCCTCTGCTCTGTGTGTCTGCTCCCTCCAAACACAAGTAGTGTAGGGTCTTCAGAAGAACATTTTATCCATTTTGCCTTGCATCACAGGTTGCCTTTTGAGTTCCAAGGGGTACTAGGTTCAGAGATCGATTTCTTGTCATTACAGTTGACTTTCTAGAAAATCAAAAACCCGCTGATGTTATCTGAACACTGAACTTCCCCTTTGCTCCCCTGTTCTCCCTTTCTGCCTCCTTACTAGACCTGGTGAAATTTTTCCTTGCAAATAAATTATGTGATGAATTCAGCCCTTTTTTCCTCCTGAGAAACTAATTTTTGATTTCTGCAAATGTATTGACTATTTGTGAGAATTTGTCTAATAGTATAGATAGTCTTGGGCCAATGTGATCTTAGCAGATAGTTGTTAAAATGAATAGTTTGCTCTCTGTTACTCGTGGGCAGTGTGGGCACAAGTTGGAGGATAATATTTTTTATAGTTTGAATGGCTGAAACTTTTTAAATACAGAATGACTGCTCATTAAAATAGTGTATGATCGTGTCTGCTCACTTGTGGTCTTGCTCACATACGGGTATTTAAATGAAGGATTGCTGTTTCCCTTAAATGCTTGTGAGCAAAATCCCACTTGTGAATTAAGAATAAAAAGGGGATGTGAACATGGTCAAATCCAAGCAGCCATTTATAATTAGAAACGTGTTGCCACATTTGACGATCATGTTTCTTACCCTCAGGTTCTTAACCCTGTAAATCAAGTAATGATAGTTATCCTAATGCTGGACTCTACAAACAGCATTTCTGAAAGCTCCCATGAAGATCTTCTCTCAGGGGACAAGCAGGGAACTGCTTGTTAATAAAGTCTGGCATAAGGCTACAATCTGGTTGAAAAGGTCTATCATCACTGAAGCTTTTTGTATGAGTCTGAAATTGTACAACCAATTTCCATACTTAATGGTGGTTATTTCATGCTAAAAGACATAGGGCAGAAAAACGTAGGTGTCACTGGTTGTTTAAATAAACAGGAGAGCTCGGTTTCAATGTACTAAAGATGGCTTCTCACCAGATAAACAGAAACGAGTACTTGGTTAACAAGGCAATAGAAGTGTTATAAATAACTTAAGACTGAAGCGAGTTTTCAGATGGCTGTCCTTGGAAAATGGGTGCAACCTTCTTTTCAGTAGTGGTTAGCTTGCTGTAGGAGGTCGCTTGGGCTATTGATTCAGTTTTTTTCCTATATTGCAGTTTTTTGTTCAAGAAGTTGCTGGAAATTTTGGTTTAAATAAAATCTAACATACTTCTTGTTGGCTTACATTTGAATAAGACAGACTCTGTCAAAGTGAAATATAAGACTGGCTAACCTTTCTTTATCCTACAGGTATGGTGATGCAGTGAACAAGAACTTAGTGGTGGGCACGCTCTCTTGGCCCTCACCTTGGGTCATTGTGATAGGCTCATTCTTCTCTACCTGTGGAGCAGGCTTACAGAGCCTCACTGGAGCCCCACGGCTACTGCAAGCTATAGCAAAGGACAACATTATTCCTTTCCTATGGGTTTGTAAATATTAAATAACGTTCATTGTGCTGTACGCAGCATACACGAACCCCGTGGCCTAGCCATTGGGGTAAAGTTATGGTCCTGGAGACAGGCAGAAGGAAATTGGAATATGTAGATGTAGTTGGCAGATATCAGAAACCTGATCGCTGAGTTGCAGGCTGGTTATGCAGAAATCAGGCCACTAAGCTTCAAGCTCCCAGTCCCTGCTCACAAGCCTACCAGCCCCACTACTAACCCTGCCTACACTTTGATCTGGTGCTAGGAGGAGTGGAGCAAATGTAACTGCTGAGATTCCTCCAGCCCCTCTCGCTATGGGATATTTGGACCTTGAGAGTGAGGCTGGTTTACACTGGGAGCAGGGAGGATTGATCTAAATTATGCAACTTCAGCTACGTGAATAACGTAGCTGAAGTCGATGTACTTAGATCTACTTACCACGGTGTCTTCACTGTGGTAAGTCGACGGCTGACGCTGTCCCGTCAACTCCGCCTGCACCGCTCGCCCTGGTGGAGTACCAGAGTCGACGGGAGAGTGCTCGGCAGTCAATTTATCGCGTCTAGACTAGACACGATAAATCGACCCCTGCTGGATCGACTGCTGCCCGTCGATCCAGCGGGTAATGGAGACAAGCCCTCAGTGGTCATCTCTCTCCCTTCTTTGGTGTTTCTGCCAGAGTAGGGCCCCAGTCAGGTTTCATATGTTGAAGCAGAAGCCATACCTTCACTTTTTAGTTGCTGTCTACTGGTTGCAGACCACTACTGCCTCTTCTCCGACTAGCTTCTTGCTTAATCTTGTCAAAAGCAAGGGAAGGCTCTTCTTCCTAGAAACAGAAGAAAGGGAGATTGGACAAGGATTCCCCACTCTTAAACTAGATTTTAAAGCGAGGGTCTGTGTTTAAAATAAAAAAAGGCAGGTGTGGATTGAAGGGAGGATGAATATTTTTTGTATCATGAAGGAGTGTGACATCAAACTCAATGGACTAGAGAATGGGATTAGAGGCTAGCTAGACTCCTGTCCTTGTCCTTCAATGAAAGATATGAAAATTCCCCCCTGCACGCTATCTTTGACGTGGGAAATAGATTTTATTTTAGAATGTTACTGAATGTATTCATAAGCAGTGTCAAGTTAAGCTGAGTCAAGTGAGATAGTACAAATAAATAATGTTCCTTTTCTTTTTTTGTTCAGGTTTTTGGCCATGGGAAAGCAAATGGTGAACCAACATGGGCGCTTCTGCTAACAGCATTAATTGCTGAACTTGGAATTCTTATAGCTTCACTTGACATGGTGGCTCCAATTCTCTCCATGTAAGGAACAAAGTCACTGTTACAAGATAGATATGGCAGGCTTTTGAAGTCTGTTAACTTGATTACCTTTTAGAACCTCTATTTTAGATAAATACAACAGTTATTGGAACAGAAGTTCCATTTATTTAAGGACTACAAATGACCTGACGTCCATCTTAATTAACATGTAAATTGTCATGCCTCTGAAATATATCATGAGTGAACATTTTTTTCTGACATAGCTGGATTGGTCTTCCCTTTAGAAAACCGTATCATGTTTGATGCTCAGCAGTTGGACAGAAGGAATTTGGTTAGAGTCATTTGTAAAGAGTCTCTGACCTTTACATCTAATTTGTATTAACAGTTTAGGCTCGTCTTTAGTAACAAATTGGAGGTATAGCCTCTTGTGCTAGCAAAACAGATATTGGTTTTGGTGTTATGTGAGTGACATTCAGACCTTTCCATTATTACAGTTTGTGTCAAAAACTAACGTGTGCTAAATTGTTCCTTCTCTACAGGTTTTTCTTGATGTGTTACCTCTTTGTCAATCTGGCATGTGCAGTACAAACACTTTTAAGAACTCCAAATTGGCGGCCCCGATTTAAATACTATCATTGGTAAGCAAATGACTCAGTGTATTCTTTGGTCTACTCTAGTCCGTATTCTTTGGTCTACTGAGGGGATTTGAAAGACTGTTGTTAACCCTTCATATGAGGGAAGAGCTTCCTAATAGAGGGGATGTTAGTGTGTGTTTTCTGCTGCTGATCACAGGCGTGGAGTGTTTCTATAGGTGGCTTTTGCAGCTAGCCTTGGAGGACCTTACTCACTCACCTCGTTTCTGAAATTGTGTCTTGGGCCATCTTAGGATGGCTGAGAAGATGGAAAGATTCTGCAGTGCCCTGGGGCTATCAAGTGGGACTCAGTTAAGGCTGCTTGATTTCTTCCATCCATCTGGTAGTAGTCAGGGATGCAGGAAGAAACTCCTCTGTTTAGTGTGGACCAGAATTGTGGTGATTAATGTAGTAATAGTGTCATCCCCACAATAGAGTATATTACAATAGTGGTGATGGAAGTTATTGTTTGCTTTTTACTGCCATCTCTTCAGGAGAGAGGATACAGAAGGTGAGAAACTTCAAGGGGGAAAGCAATTAAAATAACCAATGGGTTTGTAGCAGGTACTTCAAGCTTTTAGCTTTTTCTCCCCAGGTACTTGCTAATACCTATTTTTTCCCCCTCCCAGGGCTTTATCATTTTTAGGCATGAGTATTTGTCTTGCGTTGATGTTCATTTCATCCTGGTATTATGCTCTGGTGGCTATGCTCATTGCGGGCATGATTTACAAGTACATTGAATACCAAGGGTAAGTATTTCCAGAAGGAGAAGGGTAAGAGGGGACTTGGACTTACTTACCATTTATTGGTTCGGCACGTGAATGGGCATTGCTTTGTGTCTATGGTATTAGTTTCCTATGTGAGAGTATTTTTGCAACTCCTTTGCGGTGGTGATTCCAAAAAGAATTTATTAGATCAGGACTTGTTTCTTGGGTAAGCATCTGCAAAATGTTTCTTGAAATCTGTGTGTTAGCGGGAATTGAAGGCCTATTTTGGGGATCGAGTTCCCTGCTCCACTTTACCCTCCTTGACCTTTGACAACTTCTAGCCAAGGAGGCCTGAATGGAGCCCTCTCTAAAGCCATTCCTCTTGGCTCATAAATTGGCCAGGCAGTAAGGGTTTTTAGAGAGTCTTGTGGGGAGAGAACCAGCACCCAAACTCAGCCTTCCTTGGGATGCATGAGATTGCTATTCTCAGTCTCTTAGACTGATAGTTTGGCTGTATAACTTAATCTTCACAAATCAGATGGTGAAGCACATGGTGTGGTTCATGCATGATGATGTCCCAAGGAAATCTCAACCACAGACAGGAGTGATTTATAAATTGCAAAGTACTCCACTTAGGAAGGAACAATCAGTTGCACACATACAAAATTGAAAATGACTGCCTAGGAAGGAGTACTGTGGAAAGGGATCTGGGGATCATAGTGGATCACAAGCTAAATATGAGTCAACAGTGTAAAGCTGTTGCAAAAAAAGCAAACATCATTCTGGGATGTATTAGCAGGAGTATTGTAAACAAGACACGAGAAGGAATTCTTCTGCTCTACTCCACGCTGATTAGTTCTCAATTGGAGTATTGTGTCCAGTTCTGGGTGCCACATTTCAGGAAAGATGTGGACAAATTGGAGAAAGTCCAGAAAAGAGCAACAAAAATGATTAAAGGTCTAGAAAACATGACCTATGAGGGAAGATTGAAAAAATTGGATTTGTTTAGTCTGGAGAAGAGAAGACTGAGAGGGGACATGATAACAGTTTTCAAGTACATAAAAGGTTGTTAAAAGGAGGAGGGAGAAAAATTGTTCTTCTTAACCTCTGAGGATAGGACAAGAAGCAATGGGCTTAAATTGCAGCAAGGGCAGTTTAGATTGGACATTAGGAAAAACTTCCTAACTGTCAGAGTGGTTAAGCATTGGAATAAATTGCCTAGGGAGGTTGTGGAATCTCCATCATTGTGGATTTTTAAAAGCAGGTTGGACAAACACCTGTCAGGGACGGTCTAGATCAGGGGTCGGCAACCTTTCAGAAGTGGTGTGCCAAGTCTTCATTTAATCACTCTGATTTAAGATTTCGCGTGCCAGTAACACATTTTAACGTTTTTAGAAGGTCTCTTTCTATAAGTCTATAGTATATAACTAAACTATTGTTGTTTGTAAAGTAAAGTTTTTAAAATGTTTAAGAAGCTTCATTTAAAATTAAATTAAAATGCAGAGCCCCCCAGACTGGTGGCCAGAACCCGGGCTGTGTGAGTGCCACTGAAAATCAGCTCGCGTGCCATAGGTTGCCTACCCCTGGTCTAGATAATACTTAGTCCTGCCTTGAGTGCAAGGGACTGGACTAGATGACGTCTTGAGGTCCCTTCCAGTTCTATGATTCTCTGCCTGATGTGTTTGCTTGAAATACATCTTGCAGTTCAGCCCAGTGAATACATTAGGTTGTGAAGCACATCTGTAAATTTGTTATAAAGTAATTATGACTTCTATGCAAGAGCAGGGGAGTTAAACACTGCTGAAATAATACTACCTAGCTCATATATATCGCTTTTCATCATCAGATCTCAAACCATGTATTCACTAAAATATGTGATCCTTTGCAGTGCAGAGAAGGAATGGGGTGATGGTATTCGGGGTCTGTCACTCAGTGCTGCCAGATATGCCTTGCTAAGACTGGAAGAAGGTCCTCCCCACACCAAGAACTGGAGGTAGGCATTTTGGATGTGCAAAATGCAAATTTTGCTGAGCCTCTGGTTGCATGTGCAGGGTTCAAAACAATGCCCACAATTTATATGTAAATAATTAGCTTGACACTGGACAGGAGCTTTGCTATCTTAAAATACAAAAGAAGTTTAAGAACTCAATCTTTTAATGGGAGTCAGGGGCGGCTCCAGGCAGCAGCGCAGCAAGTGCGTGCCTGGGGCGGCAAGCCGCGGGGGCCGGTGTGCCAGTCGCCGTGAGGGTGGCAGTCAGGTAGCCTTCGGCGGCATGCCTACGAGAGGTCCGCTGGTCCCGCAGCTTCGGCGGCAATTTGGCGGCGGGGTACGCCAAAGGCGTGGGATCGGCAGATAACCTGCAGAAATGCCGCCGAATCCGCATGACCAGCGGACCGCCAAAGGCTGCCTGACTGCCGTGCTTGGGGTGGCAAAAAACGTAGAGCCGCCCCTGATGGGAGTCAAAACATGTGAGTAAGTCCTGCACACTTAGTGTGAAATGCACGCAGCCCATGTAAGATATCCCATGCTACATTAACTACACGGGGGGTGCCCTGCAGAGACAGAACAGCAGCCCATGTAAGATATCCCTGCTACATTAACTACACGGGGGGTGCCCTGCAGAGACAGAACAGCAGCCCATCTTGTCTGGGATGTGGATGGAATCTCAGGCCCTGTGTAGGCTAGTTCAGAAAGTGGAGTTGGGGAATGACACACAAGATCTGTGATTCCAGGAATGCAGTGGCCTAATACCTGCAGTAGTGGCACGGAGGTTGCTGATGTGGCTGCAGCTTTAAAACTGGAATAGTGGCCAAGGATTTCTCCCTCTAGCCTCTGCACTTCAGCTGCATGCAGCCAGATTACATGGGCAACATGCATTTTGCTCTGAGAGAGCAGAGCTCTGTGTGCAGCAGCTGGAAAATAGTAAGGCTTAGTGGGCTGAGAAATCCTCATTAACTGAAAGCTTGTACTCTTTCATGACTTTCATCTCTGAAGTGCATAGCTCAATCTAGCTTGTGTTATGTTGCTAACTAGCACTACTGTATGGGGATATTGAGCACTCCTCCATCTGTCCAGAGGAGTAGAAGTCACCTTAAATAATACAAACAAAATCCTATACATCATGGTATTCTGTTACTCATAGCTGAATGTTGGGAAAGAAAATATTGTCAGACTGAAGTTGCATGTATCTCACATGTCAGAAGAAGGTGAAATTCATTTGTAATCTTAATTCCCATGTGTTTGGTACATAATATCCATATAGACCTAGAAGGTAGCTTTATTGCATAAATGTAGTAGGCAATGTATTTTGTATCGGGCAGATCCTTGAAAATCAGTCTCTGTAAGTAAAATGCTAATGCAAACCTCTCAGACTAGTAAAATCCTTGCTTCAAACCCACCTGGAAGAAGAGACTCCAGACAATATTCCAAATCTGCTTTGTCTAAAGAAATAAAACATCAAGTACTGCCCTTTCAGTGCATATTGGTACAGCGATAGTACTTCACTGTTATGGATATTAGTGTTAATGTTGAAGCATAATTAAGATAACTAGTGAAGCAAACATTTAAAAAAAGGTTTTATAAGAATTACCTGGACTGCTTTTTCTTTTCTTCTAGGCCTCAATTGCTGGTGCTTCTGAAATTAGATGAAGATTTGCACGTGAAGTATCCGAGGCTGTTAACATTTGCTTCTCAGCTGAAAGCTGGCAAAGGTTTGACTATCATAGGGACAGTGATCCAAGGGAATTTCCTGGAGAGTTATGGAGAGGCCCAAGCTGCTGAACAGGTGCGTGCTTTAACTATTGACATATAATGATGATTTTACACAATTGTAGTGAACGTTTATTAAACTTTGTGGAAAGTAAAACAGGCTCCAGTAAAACAAAGCTCTTAAACACGAGTGTACTAGATGCCTGTTGCCCAAAGTGCTTAAAGAATGTTTAAGTGCACTGCTGAATTGGGGTCTAAAGATCTAAAAGACACGTCATGGCTGCGGCATTAAGTTCTAGATCAGGGGTAGGCAACCTATGGCACGCGTGCCAAAGGCGGCACACGAGCTGATTTTCAGTGGCACTCACACAGCCCAGGCCATTATTGTTCTGTTTATATCTTGCAGCTTTGTTATAAAGCCTTATAGCATACGAAGCCTTATACTACGTATGATTCTCCTGTCCTTCATTTCTCAAAATAGGGCAGTAAACTTTTGCCCCTGATGAGTATATGCAGATTACAGTATGAACATGCATAAGAAGTATAATAATCAGTTGATGTAGAGGACCTGAGTTCATTTTAATGGAGACCTTTTTTCCCTTGCCTTATCTTCCAGACTATTAAGAACATGATTGAAATTGAGAAAGTGAAAGGATTTTGTCAAGTAGTTGTAGCCACCAAGGTTCGAGAAGGAATTGCCCACTTGATACAGTCCTGTGGACTAGGTGGCATGAAACACAACACTGTGGTTTTGGGATGGCCGTATGGCTGGAGACAAAGTGAAGATGCGAGAGCCTGGAAAACATTTATAGGTTAGTTGTAATATGTGATGTGATTAGACACCCAGAACCAAGTTCTCTGTACTACTCTACACACATTATACTTGTGATTGAACAGATTTATTCTGCAAGTTCAGCATTGCTTTCCCACTATTTGCATGAATATTAACAAAAAAAGTAAAAAGTAAAATAATGGCACTCATTGACAGGTATATGTGTCTATATGCCATTTCAAATGTTTTTTAATAAACAATACCATTTTTTCAATTAAAAAGCCTTTATAGTTGCACAGTTATACAAAAGGAGTAAATACATGTATTTAATGTGAGCGGTGATTTTATGGGTAAGTGGCACTTGCTCACTGAATAGCCTTTTCCACTATAATTTTCTTTTACAGTACCATAGAAAAGTGACTGTTTGCTTTCTTCCCCTTCCCTGCAGATACTGTGCGTTGCACAACTGCTGCCCATCTGGCTCTGTTGGTGCCCAAAAACGTGTCTTTCTATCCCAGCAACCATGAACGTTACAACGAAGGCAACATTGATGTGTGGTGGATTGTGCATGATGGAGGCATGTTGATGTTGCTTCCTTTTCTACTGAAGCAGCATAAAGTAAGGATGAAAAGAGCTAGAGAACAAATTCATCTGCCTACTATGTATGCATCAGTGTATGGTGTGGAACAGTGAGCCAGCAATAAGTGAAGATCCTCATGCTGTTCTCCCAATATGTTTTGTCTTGTATTATATATTTATAAAAAATGGTTTTTGACCCACATGTACATTCTTCTCATGTACAATACATTCTTATATTACCAGAATGTATCTTTTCCTGCGTGATCATAGCCGGAGTGGTCATACAAACTCACAAATCTTTACCTTGTAAAAAAAGGAAAGGTACTGCATTGAAAAGGTAGCGCTCCTGTAGCTGTGTTTGAGACTTTTTTTTTTTAAATATGGAGATATCCCTATCTCATAGAGCTGGAAGGGACCTTGAAAGGTCATCGAGTCCAGTCCCCTGCCTTCACAGCAGGACCAAGTACTGTCCCTGACAGTTTTTTGCCCCAGATCCCTAAGTGGCCCCCTCAAGGATTGAGCTCACAACCCTGGGTTTAGCAGGCTAACGCTCAAACCACTGAACTATCCTTCCCCCCCAAAGACTTGCTCAGTCTTCTGTTGATAGCTATGTAAATTTAATAAGAAGTGTACCATAAAGGACTCAGCAGACTGCTTATGGATACCATTTTCACAAGGGCTATAGGACCTAATGGTTGTCTTAATTTTAGACACTTGATATATTTCATTGCCATATAATTGGATTATATGCATGCAAAAGGAGAACACTGTCAGGTTATGAAGCAAGTGTTAATTCGGAAGCTGGTGTACTAGTTAACCAAAGAAAGAATTCATTTGTATTAAGCGGTTATAGTACCAGAAATTAAACTGAATTTAATAAACTCAATATGATCATGAAGGTGAGGGACCACAATAGTGCTGGTAGTACAGCTGGTTGAGAAATGACCCCAAATTATGAAAACTATAGACTTCTTCATCAAATTTGATTATGTTGAGAAATGTTGAGCACTCAAACTGGTTGAAAACCAGCAATAAAAAATTAATGAAAACTTTTCACAAATTAATTGGAACTTAACAAATTTGAAAACTTTCTCTAAAACAGGCAGGTGCAAAGAAAGTCGTCCCTCTCTCTATCCCATACTTACCAATGATTGCACCTCTTCTGAGCTGCCTTGCCTTGCTCCATCTCTTGGCTTGCCTTGGAAGAGGCAGTCCATTATTCCAAAGCGTGGTGGTTATTTCTTAAAGACAAAGGGCAGGTCTTCACTACCCGCTGGATCGGCGGGTAGAGATCGATCTGTCGGGCATCGATTTATCGCATGTCGTCTAGATGTGGATAAATCGATCCCCGAACGCGCTCCCCGTTGACTCCGTAACTCCAGCTCGTGAGAGGCGGAAGCGGAGTCGAAGGGGGAGTGGCAGTGGCAGCTATTCGCGTAGCTGAAGTTGCGTATCTTAGGTTGACCTCCCTCCTCCCCCCTCAATGTAGACCGGGGCAAAGAGGAGGAACCTAGGTCTCCTTAAGTGAAAGGAATCCACTAACCTCTCTGTCATCAGGAGAGATGGTTAAAATAAGACGATTAAAAAAGTCTTTCAGTAGTACTGTATCTTTTAAAAATAAGACAGTATTTATGCCCATTGTGTCCAAAATGTTATGATTTTAAAATATAGTTCCCTTGGGATTTTTGGTGACTTTTTCCCAGTTTGTCCTTTGCGGGTCCCTACATCATGGCTTTAGGCTGGATGGGAAAATATTAAGCCTCCTGAAGCCACTTCAGCTTTGGCCAGTGGGGTCACTTGATGGGGCCAGGAAACTTATCAGCCAATGTAAAGGCTATGATTGGTTTTGTCATGACAGGAATGCAAGAAAAAAATTAATCTCACAAACCTTGGCATATAGCACATCAGTGTTAAGTTTATTTTTTGTTAAAATTTAAAAGAATATAAAGATCATAAAACACCCCAGAAGAATGAAATATGTCAAGATTTTGTGGCAGTCTCACCAGCGAGCAGACCAGGGTGAATGAATAATGTTTTATTGAGGTATCCCCTCCCACCTCAAAAAAAAAAGGGTCATGGCTTTTGTCAAGGGAAACATAGCAGTGAAAAATGTGCAGACTCACTAGTGAGAAATCTAACTGGGATTTTTCTTATGTTCTAGTTCATAGGACCATTGGGCTGGCCTCATATGGCTTTTCTTTGTTATCTTTAAGCCAAAAGAGAAGCTGGATACAAATTTAAGGCCTGCCTTACATTAATGGCTCATTAACTGTGTTTGTTAAAGACATGCTTGATAATCATCTCAGTTTGTCAACACAATGCGTCAGCAATGCTCCTAAACTATGCTTGATTTCTCTGATGGGAAAGTCAATAGTATGGATGTGTTTAAAAAAAATCCACAGAGCTCAGTACAATAACTATGTTGGAAAACAAGGGTGCTATATTTATTACAGTTCTGTTTTGTGTAGAAAATAAGTTGTTGGTTCACGTGTTTTGAGAACTTGTATTTTCCCCCATAGGTCTGGAGAAAGTGCAAAATGAGAATTTTCACAGTAGCCCAGATGGATGATAACAGCATTCAGATGAAGAAGGACCTGGCTACTTTCCTTTATCAACTACGAATAGAAGCAGAGGTGGAAGTGGTAGAAATGGTAAGGGATTGATCCTATTTCTCCTTAAGGTTTGAATGCTAGTAAGTTGTTTGATTACAAAGAGGAATATTTTTCTTATTTCTGCAGCAAAACAGTGATATTTCAGCTTATACCTACGAGCGGACCCTAATGATGGAGCAGAGATCTCAGATGCTGAGGCAAATGAGACTGACCAAAACAGAAAGGGAAAGGGAGGTATGTCATTCACTATAGAAAAAGCTAAGGTGGATGAATCCAAGCGCTGTTCCTAGTACCATTTCAAATCCTTCATATAGCATAGTAAAACTTTCATGAATTAATACATAGACACCTCCCACATCTTGAAGAAAACGAACATTCAATGTAGCCTTTTTGGTTGCTATGTCTGAAAACTAGGTTTATTCCTATTGGTTAACATCTTGCCTGCACTCATGGAGCCATGCTAGAAATGCTTTGTCCTAGGAAAGAATGCATGGTGGTCACGTAAGCTGTAAAAAGCCTTTTGTGCATTTCCCTGAATGATTATGTGATGTCTAGTTAGTTCAGAATATAAGACTTAGGAGGTTTCTTGAAAGTCTCAAGAGTTTCCGGTACATGCGATATCCTGGGTTTGTCCCAGCTCATGACACATCCTGTTTTGCTAGTGTGGGTTTATGTCGTGTCTTGGATTCTGGTAGAACAAGGCAACTAATTCACTTGGCCTCCAAAGCTCTTCATTTTGTATTATGCTGTTCAGAACAGTTTTCATCAGCTTGGGGTCAGTCTGGGCTGCCAGGTTCCATATTATCTTACGATGTCAAGTTCTCTATTTCTCTGTGTAGAGACACCCCCATTGGTCCAAATTCTGGTTGACTCATATGCACCATAACCCTATTTGCTCTTTGTGTTAGTGAACTGCTCTGGCTCCTCTCCTGAACACAGGTGAAGAGTACAATGAAATGAGAGCTATTTACTTGGTGAAAGGGATCCAGAAAAGATAAAATTAACCTGTGAAAGTAGAACTCAACTTGCCATTTAAACACTTCTCAGGCCCAGCTGGTAAAGGACAGACACTCTATAATACGGCTGGAAAGCCTGTACTCGGATGAAGAAGATGAGGGGGAGACAGTACCTGATAAAATTCAGATGACATGGACAAAAGAGAAATGCGACTCTGAAAAACGGAACCGGAACACTGCAGTGGAAAACTTCAGAGAACTGATCAGTATTAAACCGTGAGTCTCAGTGGGGCTGATATCTCAGACCACTTGGGGTTAAAGTCTGGTTGTGCTGCTGTCCATTGTATGACACCCCTAATGACAAAACAACTTGACTTCCTTTTTTAAAAAATGTTTTAGTACTGCACAGGTCTCTCTTGCATTTAAACGTTTGAGGCTTTAATAGTGGAAAGTCAGCAGAGTTAGTCACCCTAATGCAGAGCTAAATGTGGCTATGAATACCAAAAAAAAATCCCCAAAGTTCTAGAATTGGTCCTTAAGTTGTGGCTTCATATAAAATGGAAGAATTGTTTGTAATCCCTTATGTAATATATGTGTATCTGAGACCATCCAGCACTAGTTTATTGGCAGATGATCATATCACTTACTGCTAAGTAACTCAGTGAAAATTTCTGAATGTTTGAAATTCCTATTCATTGGTATTGATAATTCTAGCATATTTTACTGTTAACAATCCATAGAAATTCTGTGTTTAAATTTAAATTGATGTATTCTTATCTCCCTTTCATGCTTTCAGAGAGTGGGAAAACCTGTAAGTTTTTTTGCTAATTGTTTAAAAATGTTTTTCTGTGGACGGGAGTGGGAAGATCTAGAATTCTCCCTAGATGAAAAGGAATGACATTATTAGCCTACATTTGATGCTGTACAATGGGCCTGATCCTGCATGCTTGAAGTTGAGGGGAAACTTGCCATTGTCTTTAAAGGGTGCAAGATTGGGTCCTTAATTCTTAAGGCGATAGGTATCTTAGAAATAACATAAAGCAAAGTCTGCAAGAGTTACCCTGTCTAACCAGGACTGACTCAGGGAAAAACAACTTCAGGTTTGAGCATTTAATTGTGTTTTCAAGAATGGCATACTTCCGTTTGGGTGATCAAAGGATGTGTGTTATTGTTGGGGCACAATATCAGATGATGGGAAAGCCAAAGTTCAGCCTGTCGTACAGAACAGAAATTCAGGACAGTGCTGACTTGAGCTTCTCTAGCTCTTTGTAGTTTTCTCACAAGCTTAAATATGATACGCAAAGGACATAGTCAAAGTGCTTTTACCATCGTTTGAATGTTTTTACTCTCCATTGTTTGCAGTAGCTTTCATAGCAGCTTGAAATTAGATTCTTTTCAGGTCCGGTTCTGTCTGCACATGCCCCCAATCCTGTCCCCAAAGGAACATTGTTCGTAGTCTCTCCTGGAGGCTGGGTGAACCATTCCTTTCATGCCTACATCATACTAAATGGCATTTTCTCAGCTCTCTGGATAGATGCCAGTTTTAAGGGTCACCTTGAACATTTTTTTTGTCTCTTTGGATCTCTTCCAAAAGTTGATTACAAAAATAAAATTCCTTCCTCATCTCCCATAGTTATAGTACTGTGAAGTCTTGCCTCTCTTGTCTGTGACCTTTCTGTTTCTGACATGGAAGAGGCAGAGACTGTGCTCACTTTTCCAATAAAACATACGGCCATAGCATGACATCAAAAGGAAAGTATTCCAAACCGGGCAAGTTGTACCCTGTTGTAAATCTCGCTCCTAAATAGTTCTGTGCAGCAGCACTGTTTCTTGGTAAAGCAGTGCAAATGAGTCACCTCCGTGTATCTGCCACTTCCTGAATGTTTTGGGGAAGCTTATTCCCTTACAAAATGTCAACAAACATACAACCCAATTAATCATCACAAGACGAAAGCTAAAATTAAACTGACTTCAAAAACAAAAAAGCCTCCAGAAAAGAAATGAGTTCAGTAAGGCCTGTTACCATAATTTGTAGCATGTAAAATGGGTACTTATGTAACCCCCTTCCCTAAAATACCTGGTTTTGGTTGAAAAACATCAATAGTAATAAAGAAATCCTTATCCAAGTTCCAAAGGCTAATTGATTTTCCCTTTAGGTCTGCATCTATCTGTCTGTCTTTTGTTTTGTTCTCCCTTTTTAGCCCTTATCAGCCACACAAATAGTTAATTTCCTATTGGAAGGAGACATCTTCTGCCTAAAAATGACTCCCTGACTCTCCAGTTCTTACTCAGCATGGATTGGTGCGATCTGATCATATTTTCAGTGTACTAAATCCTGGACGCTTTCTGTGAGGATATGAGTGTTTTGCAGCTCAAAAAACACAAGTGCACTTCTTAGAAATATGGGCTGGTGTTGCTGTCACCAGTTTCTGAGTTATCTGTGAGACATGGAGTTCTCTGAGTTGAGGATTTCTTCTGTACTTTAGTGTGTTGAGTGGGGGATTTTTGGTCAGTGTGACCTGGACTATTGCTTTGCCATGTGCCCTGAGAAAGAGGCCGTATATAGTTATGCTGCCTAAGGACCAGACTGTGATTCAGAGGAAGTAAACTGGGCCGGGCTTACACTCAGCACAATGTACCACACCTGGCATGCTGGCTGTGCTGACTGGCGCATTGGCAGGAGCAAGGGAGCAGTAATGGCTCTGTAGAGCCTGC